ACACTTCCTTTCTGTCCCTAGGCTGGGTCTCACTCCGCCAATGTCCGACCTACCGGACTGGGCTAGCCCGGCAAGCTGCACCTTTGGGCCTCGTGTGTACATCTTGGTCAGATGTGTAGACTAAGCTAGCCCACAGCCCTTGCGTCCTATTGACGTTGCACCTGAGTGAGCCAGTGTCTCCTCAGTGTATTTACCCGGACACCGGTCCGCGTGTCTGAGCACAGCGTGTTTAGCCTCTGGTGTAATGTGGGTACTTTATAATCACTACAGTACAATGCACGGTTCCGCGCTCCATCCAGATGTCTGACGATTTTCAGTTTTGAGATTTCTTCAATTCCCCTGTTTCTCAATGACTGACGAAGCACCTGAACAAGACTATCCAGAAGTCCGAGAGATCCTCGGTTCCGTATGTAATGATCAAGAAGTAGCCAGTGCCCTGTATGCTTTTCTAATCTCTGGTAACATTGGTACAGCTCGGGCTGTGGGTTCTCTCTCACCAGCTTTCATAGCAGCCTCTCTCTCTAATATACCTGTTCCGGAGGGGAAAAATCCAGCTCTCTGGAAGGGCACGATTGCGTCTCTCCTGGCGGCCGCCAGAGATGAGGCAGCTGACCAACTACTAGTCCAAGTAACCCGAGCTAAGAGGGACGTCAGTGAGTCTTCCACTCCGTTGCTTGGCAAATCTACTGCTCAGAAGCGGCGGCAATCTAAACTGCTGACCTCATCTATGAAGTTGTTGGCGACGAAGCTTGGTTGCAGCGGCCTACCGGCAAGTTTGGTCCCCCCGCAGAAAATGTTCGACTGCTTATGGTTGAATATGACCACGTTCGTCGACTTTAACAAGTTCATGTCGCAGACATCGGAGCTTTCGTCGAACGCGGCCGACGGCGTCCTTGCTGAAGACTTGGAGGACCGCCCAGTTTTAATCAAGTCCACATCTACGCCACAAAATGGAGCCAAACAGCAGCGGGAACGTAATCTTACTGCTAAATGGTCCCGAGCGTTTTGGTGGTTCGCCATCGCTCTATTGTCCGTACAGGAAGCACTCCATCTGAAAGATGGCTCGCTCGGGAACAGTGTCGACATCCCCAATGCTTGCCTCGCCAACGTCGAGCTCGAAGGTCAACCTATTGACAATGTGATGATTCTCGATCTTCTTCAATACTTCCACAAGATCTTATGGTATGCAACCGAGTACAATTGGTCGGTTGCCATTGCGGTTGACCGAGCTATCCGTATGGCTATTGAAGATGCATGTCGCGGTGGATCTCGGACACTAGCTGATTGCTACCGGAATCTCGACTTGTGGTCGGCCAAAGCTTCTGAGGCTGCCAACTTGTCGATGGGCACGCCACGTTCTGCTAGGTCCTCATATCTAGGAGGGGATAGTCCCTCTGACAAACCTTGGGCTAGTTCTTCTTCTTCTCGTCGTCTCTCACCCTCAACCCCAAGTCGTCAGGGCTTCAAGCGTCCTCGGGATAACCGTTTTCCTGCGAGACTTCCTCC